CCCTCCTTCTCTCCCCCCCCCCCCCCCCCCCCCCCCCCCCCTGGCCGACCCCTACATTGGCAAGTTTCTCTCCTTATTTTTCTGTTTCTTCCTATCACGCAATGAAGGTAATGAGGGAGAAGGTAGATTGAGTGTAAGCTATTCAAGGCTTATTAAAAACTAAAATGTTTTTCACAAAAAAAAATATTTTTTTATAAAACAGTTTTCTCTCTCTGTCCCTCTCTCTCCTTCAGCCTACCTCTTCCTCTCTCTATACGTGTCTCTCGTTTCATCCTTCACAAGGTTTCATTTACGTTTCTCTCTCTCTCTCTCTCTCTCTGTCTCTCTTAAGCTAAGAAAAAAAACATTTTTCTTCGTTTTCCAGAATATATGCAGATGATCGTCCAATTCTCAAAACATATGACCATTTATATGCATGGCTCTTAGTGGAAAACAAAGATTACTTAATATATATATATATACATATATGTATATATTTAAATTATTAGAGAAAGACATAAGGAGTAGCTGATTCCTATTCCAGCTGTTTCTATCCTCCCTTTCTCCTTTCAGTCTCTCTCTCTTTCTATGTCTGGTTGTTCTTCGGGCTGTCCCCTCTAGCCTTTCTCACATTCACTAATAACAGAGTCATTGCCTTTTTTTCACTAATTCTCTATTCTCTCTCTCAACTACAGATTGTCTATCGTAGTCTTTTTCCATATTTGGGTAATTAACCATTTTTTGTAAACAACTATCCTTCTCTCATTCCTTTTTCCATTTAACACAAAAAATAGTTTTGAACTTACATCACAAAAAATCTCAGCTTACTACAGCATTCTGTTTGGCAGCATGCTCGATATGAGAAGAATGTCTCCAATTCGGGATCGGAACATCTGAAAATCATAAAACAGTGGGCTGATCATATCGATTTGTCAATTGTGCTCTCTAAGAATCTAGAGTTTGTACTTTGGTCATCTGCTCTGCTCATCTGATTAGCATGACCAAACAGATTTTTTCATTATTATTATATTTATGTGTTACAATGCCCTAATGAAGTAGTAGTGGAGGAGGAGGAGGAGATAAGCAAAAGCCGTTGTTGCTTTGAACAAACGTCTCAATAGTCCTAATTTGGGTGGTAGTGGTGGTGGGCAATGGGGGGGGAGGCGAGCCAAAATCTGACCTCAAGTAGACTTCTCAAGATGACTGGACAGCTTTACTTCATGGCTAAGGACCGACCCGCTTTTCTTTTACATTTTTCTTGTTTCCCTTGCTATTCCTACTAACACGAAACCAAAATACAACTGACTCAATGTAAAGCTGTGAATGTCATCGGTTTATGTAAGCCCTTGCGACATGCTTTTCCTTTACATTTTCTCTTCTCGTTTGCTGCCATTTCATCATCCTCATCATCATCATCATCATCATGAAGCTTATAAGAAAAAATATGAAGACTGAATTACACAGCCCCATTACATACACACCACCACACCAAAAGAGGGCTAAGGAGAGAAGAAAACACCTCCATGGTATGCTTTTCTCTTTCAGCTACTACATGAAGCAATGCTGCTTAGAGTACGAGTCGAAAGGATTAACTGGTAACCTTACGGAAAACTATTCTCCTAAGAATCATTAATTATTTATGAATAATAAATGACTCTGCTGAGATTAGAAGGGAGAAGGAGAGAGAGACAACGCGTCTCACTTACAATCTGATTATTGTCATCTCAAACACAACACAATGAACTCAAATGAAGTTAGCTGTTTGAAACTCATACGCAACTAGAGAAAGAGCGTGACTTTCAATAATTACTTAAAACGTTTACTTGCAGCTGAAAGTGACTTCTTTTGAAGCTTTTTTCATTTCTCTCGCTCTCTTTAATGCTTATCTTCAACGAACTTGTAAGTGAGTCAAAGAGTGAGCAGAGGACACATTCACATCAAAGACATGAAACATGAGAGAACATCTTATCAATTTATCATGTGGAAGCTTTAACGTATATTCGCGTGTCACATAAAATACTCAAAGATTCTTAGCGAGAAGATGATTTCATGACGTTATTCAGATGAAATGCGACATAAAGCTTTGAAATGAAGAAGATTCTGAAGTTGAATGGCAAGAAGCAAATTTTGAATGATGATGATTCAGTTTGGCCCTCTGTTGCTTGATATCTGCTTCAAAGCGTCAGCTGAACAATCACACATCTCGTATTGTATGTTTAAGCTTCATCTCAAGAGGGCAAATGCATTACTTCTTATTTGGTCGAGTTTCGATTCTAATAATCTTCGCACATGAAATTCCATTGGGGGTATGATGAGAAGCATGTTCAAATCATAACTGAAGCAAACATCTAACTTTCCAGCTTTCTCCATTCAATCACATTTTCTTTCTTCTTTCAATCGGATAAACCTCTTTAAGCTTCATCTGCAAACTATTTTCTTTTTTTTCTCTGCCCCTCTTTCAAGTTCAATTACAACTATCTATCACTCTGCTTCTCATCATTCTCTCTATCTCCCTTCAACTGCCTTCCCATCCCTAACAGCTATCAGAATTTGGTCAACTGAGTCAGTAACGAGGAAAACACTATCTTTATATGGTCAAGAAGATGCTTCTCACGTCAGTTCATCTGACAGCTTCAGTATATAAAAACCAAATTTGACGACCCATAGTTGCAAGGGAAAGAGGAAATCAAGAGGAATTGCCATTTATGAAATCTTATGGATATACATTAGCTTTTGAAATTGAGATTGAGTAGAAGACGTGTTTGAGAAGATGCAGCAGCATGAGGAATCACATCAACTCAAGCAAACTACAGAGGGCCAGATATTCTAATATGTAAATGTAATTATATAAATAGTGATGAGATGAGCGAAGGATGCTATTGCAATGAAACAAAACACAAACACAATAGAAGAGGAGGGCAGAAATAGAAAAAGAAATTGAAACTTACGTATCTGGGTAGCAGATATCTTGTGCTCTCGTCGTTGACAGAAGAAGGAAACTGATGAGAACCAAGAGGTAGAGAAACGATTCGTTCATCAGCTAGGCATCAGATGCTTACAACTATTGAAATTTCCAAAAATTGACTAATTGCTTTTTCCCAAATAGTTTCTTTAACGGGAAAGAGAGGTTTAGAGCTTTTCCTTCTTCGTCTTCACGCTCTCTCTCTCCCTCTCTCTCTCTGTCTCTCCGTGTTCTTGTATTTCGTCTGAAAATGGAGAAATCATATCTGATTAGATGAGCTTACAAGTCAAAGAAAATAACAATAAGGCATGATATGTGTTCATACAAATAGAAGATAAACTTAGAGAATATGTGGGTAACATGTCCAAAAGATTTGGATGAAGCCGCCAGGGGGTTGACGGCAAAAGAAGGAGGGAGAAGCAAAAGCTGATGCAGCAGGACCAACGACGAGAAAGACACACAAAGTGGGCGGTACGACACCGGACTGAAGCATATAGAGCGAATGACTCGTAGCACTAGAAGTAGTAGTCGAGCAAGCAGTTTCATGATGAATTATAGTAAGTAAAATACGATGAAATTTTTTTTTCTTTTTGCTCATTTTCATGGCTCACAGATTTCTGACGAAGAAGCGAAGAAGAGATAGGCGACGAAGATGAGGAGAAGATGAGATCGCATGAGAGAGAGAGAGAGAGAGAGAGAGAAAAAGAGAGAGAAAATTATGAAAACCAAAAAATGGAGAAGAGAGAAGTGAAATCAGATGAGCTGAAAAGGAAGCGATGAGATTTCAGTACAAAATGAGAAAATGCTTATGAAATAAGGGTGAATGTCAATGACAAGCTCTTGGCCTCAGCTCAATTGGCTAAACTTAAAATCAGATAAATTCTACTCTCCATGAACTCTTTCTCACTCTCTCTCTCTATGTGTTGCTTCAAATCTGTCCATCTATGTATATCCTTCTCTCTCTCTATCTTTCTCGAACTCTCTTAGAATGCTTCTGTATTCATGAAGTTCTTGGAGGACAAGGCTTGTCATCAAAATCTTCCAAAAATTCGAAACTTCAACGATCAATTTCTCGCAAAAACTTCCATTTGAGTTCGAATTAATTGAAAAATTCTGGATAAATGCGGAAGACAAGGAACGGCTTCTTATTGCTTTCCCTTCCTTTAAACTTCACACATTATCTTCTGAAAGCTAACGTTCTTCATCTCATCTGCTTGTATGGCACAGACGACCCAGTTTGCCTTTGTTTGTTAGTGTTTGTTGTTGCGAAACAAACCAACACACACATAACAACAATGAAGTTTGAAGTTGTCGCTCTTCTTCCTTACTTGCTACACATCTTCTCTTATCCTTCTACTCTCCTCCTCCTCCTCCTCCTCCTCCCCATGAACTCATAGATGAAACGAAATTCAGAATTACAAATCAAGTGAATTCAATGAGACCACATACACATGCACAACCATAACAACAGGCAAGTACTATCGTTGACGTCATCATCACACTAACCATCGATATACCAGCAAAGAAGAAAAAGAACCAAAATGAACTTGGACATAAAGAGAAAACACATCAACCAGGCTATTGGACGGCGGATAAATCATGAACGATTGGCTTGGCCTATTCCTACAACTTGCACACACACACACATACACACACACACACACACATCCCAATCAGCCGTACTTTGACCCTTCTTTTACTCAAATATCTTATTGATCAAAATGAAATAGATTGAAGAGAGTTGTTGGGTGAGCTGTTATTTCCATGCGTCTTACAAGAAACGAAAGGAACTTTTGTTTCCAAACAAAATCATTTGTGCTCACTGGTGTGGATTAAGCTTATTCTGATGCTGAGCTGGATGAATGGGTGGCAGTAAAAAAAATTTTTTTTTTCGGATGCTTTGCTCTCACATCTTCAAGTCGTTGTTGTGAAATAAAAAAAATATAATTTATATAATTATTTCTTTTATTAATTCCAATTATTATGTATAATTATAGAGAGAGAGAGAGAGGAGTGAAGAGAGAGAGGGAGAACCAGAAAGTCATTTCAATGAATTCGAGCTCGAGCTTGAGTCAACAAGCATCCAATGTTTTTTGTTCGGGCATTATCAAAGACAAACTGAAGCTGATAAGGAGAATCGTCTGGAACAGAAGGACGTTGTCAAACGAGCATTTATAATGCATTATACCTTTGAGCATGTTTATAATTGTCTCATGCTTTGAGAAGTCCAACTCAATGTTAAATGAATGAGATCCAGCTGGTACTGGGCAGGAGATACCATTGTCACATGCATTCATTTCTTTCCTGCAATGTCATATGAGATGATTTCAAATGACATTATGCTAATGAGAAACTTACAAAAGACCAAAAGTTGGTAAAGATGACCAGGCACATGAGTTGGTATTCCATGTGAAAACGCTAACGGTCAGTTTCAAGTTTGGTCGATCATACTTCTCGGGCATGTAAGCTTCAGTCTCAAGTAATAAAGGATGACCCAAATGAATCGGATATTCGTATTTCTTTGCTGCAAAAACAAAAATTCATTTTTTTTCTCTGAGCTTCTTCTTCATCATTTTTCATTTCTTCATTAATTACCCACACGTTCATCTCTCTCTTCTTCTCTCTGTCTGTATGCATGCTTGTATCATCCATACATCCAGGCTCGTTCTGACTCTCAATTCTCTTTCTCTACCTACACTCTCTGTCTATTGGGTTCACTCTAAATATATTTTTTTATGTTTTGTACATGCTTACCGCTCGCATCATATGGAGTAACATTGAAGAAGCTCATTCCGCCAGTAGCACATTGCCACCAATTAAATTGTGTATCCGTGTTATTCGGCCAGGACGTACAAGCGGAGACTGTTGACGAGAATAGAAATAATGCAAACACGAAGCTTTTCATTTCTGCTCTTTCTGATTCAGACTTTGCTTTTAATAAAATCGAAGTGAGAACGGATGTGTTGCAGGTGAGAGGTGAAATAGCTTTCAGTGATAATCTGCCAGTAGAAGTCTTTTATAGAATAGCTCAACGAGATAACAAAGAGATGTAAAACTTCCGCACATCCGTTATCGTTCCAAGAATTTGATGAGAGCATCTTGTATTTTGATCCATAATTGAACGTTTTGATATTCGTTCATTATAGTCTTCGCATCAACAATCACTGTATGAATATCATACAAACGTCCATACGATTCTTTAACTCTGATGAGCCACATGAGATTTGCATATACTTCCTTTCCCTCTTACGTCATGCTCAACTCAGTGTACGCTTCGATGAGCATTCATGTTCATTTTGTATTTTTTGATTCCAGTTAGCGGTTGCATCATTCCAATTCATTCCTTCCTATCTGCTCTCTGAGTGTGTGTTGGATGGAGAAGTGTAGGAGTGAGGAGGGGGTTTGTTGGAAGATGGGTGAGGTTAAGCTATTGGCATTTCGATTGTAAAAATTGAATTTCAGATTAATTTGAATAATTCATCAATTAGGAATTGACAATGGAAACAGAGATATTGAAAGTACACACTGTCCTTAAGGGGAGAAGAGGAGATAGGAGGAGGGGGAGGGATCGAAGTGGACTGAAAACAACTTTTGTACTTTATTCGCAAATGATAAGACTCATTAATTATAAGGTTGTTCCGTCAGTTAATTACCAATTGAAAGAGTTTTTATGGCAAAGACCTTTGAACGAAGGCAGACTCTGGGCTACATCTGTAAATGACATGAAAACTATTTATTTTGAATTTCATCATAGGAAGGCTTTCCTAGTCCTTTCTCATTATAAGCATCCATCAGAATAATTCTTCTTTACATCGTGGTTGTGTCTATGAGTGTAAGTGTGTGTGTGTGATATAAGCTTTCGTTCATGCGCCCGATGATTTGAATTCGTACCCGTTTTCTCTATCACTTTAGTTGTTTCAGGGGAATTCACTCATCCTTCGAATCAGTACGTAAAGAAGTTACAATGACACTAACTCGTTTCATGCCTACCAAGATTTTGTTCTCGTACAACTTCAGAAGTTGCACTCGAAGGAGTCCAGAGTAATATGAACACTACTTTACAGGTCATACCATTTGATCACCTTTAAGCTATCTGAAAAGAGGCTAAGGATTAGAAAAGCTGTACTGACCGATTCATGGATGGGCAACTCGGGTGTAATTCAAAAGAAGGTTAAGTGGCGGCGGTAGTCACGTGTTCTCTTAGTTCATTGTTAAGACTGAAAGTAAAGATTATGAGAAAATTCCAATCAACGAGACAAGGTATGAATGAGTAAAACTTTAACTTTGTGAACGGGGGACGTTCAGCTACTGATTCAAGAGATCACTCAAGAAGGAGTAGCTTAGCCATGAACCCCAAACATGGCGACACCTACACCGAGGCATTCGTCTTTAAACTTTGCCACAAAGTGGGGGGTGTGAAAAGACATGAGTTATATACAATAAGTACAAGTAAAAAAAAATAACTGCTACTGCTACTGCTCCAACCACATCCACCATATCCACGTCGAACATCCAACCAACTCGTCTACAGTATCCATGCAGCCACCTTGTCTAGACTAAACAGAAAGAAGGATTGAGGGGGGGAGGTAATGCCGGCCAGCACTCAAATATGAAAAAAGGGGAACAGAAAAATGAAAAGTTGAAACTTATGTTTCTTGTTTGATTCCTCAGCTCCAACCATTCTGCCTGCGATCCCTAAACACACATGAAACACCAAAATTCATTTTC